ACATACATACTCTTTCCTGAGGAGGAATCCTCCCTAAGACCAGCCCTGAGAATTTATTAAGCTGAAAGACAGCTTGAAAGCCATCTCCTGCTACCTCCATCACTCCCAAAGTCACCTGTAAAACTTATCGCAGAAATAAGTGGAGCGGAAGACGCCTCTACGCCTTTCCTTGCTATTGGTGACACTCATAGGTAAAGGTGAGATGCCAGGTGACATCCGCGTCAGAACAGCAGCAGCTAAATGCCAGCTCAGGCTCTCTCTGGCCAGAAGCTGGGCATACTTTTCTCCAGCATTGTCCGAAAGCAATACTTCCTTGGATTCTCTCCCCACTGTGACCCTCTACCTCCCTCACCACACATACCCAAGACAAGAAAGCAGTACATAAAAGAAGAAAAGACCAACTGATCTATTACTGGCTTTCTTAAATAATTTCTCACAGTACGGTAGGACTTACAAAAGCCATTAAGCCCAAGTAATTCAATTTCCATATGGTAAAGCTTCCTAAATTTCTAGTCTCTAATATGTTTTTGTGTTAATCCTTCAAGGGGAAACATTCCAGGAAATGTCACTTTGTTTCATTCCTGTTAGACAAAACATCACAGCAAGGTATTCCCCACAGAACTCTATGCAGAAAAAAAAAAGTGTATCTTCGTAAAGAAATTGACACAGAGCCTCTAGAATTGTAACATCCAGCACACTCATCAAGAGTCAGAAGGGCTGCAATCTATTAAAAAGTTCTTCTCGTCTTTATAGGTCTGCTTATTTCATTTAAAAATCTGTTATAGACTGACTGGCTTTTCATGTGCATATCAACTAATCACATTATATAAAGACATTAATGTATATAACAAAATACAAACAACTGTTCACTAGGAACATTTGCTACTTTACAACTATAATATGCAGTAGTTTTTAATAATATACAGATAAAAAACTGGATGGTGTTAAAAAAGGCAAATAATGCATGGATCATTTTAAAACAGGAAGATCTCTGCTTCCCTTGTGTGCTGTCAACTCATTATCTTAAGCTTCTAGCGGTTCAGCATACAGAACATAACCCTGACAAAAGATTTTTGTTTCATTCAAGGCTTTCCAATGAGTTATTAATAAAAATTCAATACATAAAGTTGTATCCATTCAATATTGCATTATATTGTTTTTCTCAAATGCTATCAAGGTCTCAGATAAGAAGATACAAGAAAATAAGCCATTTGAAAGCATTAACAATAAGTCTGAATAATTCAAATTGCCAATAATTTGTACCTGTAATGCCTTCGGGCAACGAGTCCTGACGCCACTCTTCCTTCCCTCTCACCCACACCACAGTTGCCCAGAAAGTTATTGCTATCCATTATAGCAAGTTCATGAAGAAACAGTTCAATGGTGCTTTCATCCCATCCATCTTCAGGGCACTTTCCCTTAATAATAATAATATAAAGGTAACTACCAAACTTGGAAATTAAAAATGAACATAACTCTATGCAACTTGTTTGATTGTTACCCTTCTTTACCATGCTGAACAGCAGTTTGTATTTTCATTATGTTGGTTTATATTATCTAATGCTCTGAACCTGTATTCAGAGAAAAGTTAAATAATGATTTTTCCATATATTAAATGCAATTACATTGGTATATCCTGATATTAAAATAGTGAGGATGTTTTTCACTTTCAAGTGTTCTTTAAGGTATGCACAAAACCACTGCAGCCCATACATGTTAATTACTCCTTAGAATACTATAGATTATTTGATCTATTCTCTAGACAAGAACCTACTACTACAGGAATTCAACAGAGAGAACTGGATGAAAGGGAGATAAATGGGTATTCTAGAACCAAAAATACTAATTATGAGCAGAAGGGAAATACAGTTTCAATTGTAACACATCTTCCTATCAGAATATTTTCCTTTCTAGTTATTTTACAGAACATAACGCGTCAAAACTTGCAGCCAGAGATATGCCCTTTCTTGTGCTCTTTACTGTGTAAAGATCTGCACTTATGTTTGCGATTGCAGAAAAGACCCTCAGAGGAAAGGCACTCATAAACCCATGAAGCATTTACTATAGCAGCTCAGCAGTCCAGAGGATTTTTTTTTTTTTTAACGTGTCCCAATAGCAGTAAAACGAATTCAGTAAAACTAATTCACTTCTGAACTGTGGTAGGAAAGTTAAGTTTGAAACTATGGATAACGTGACTAAGGATATTCAAGAACCGAAACATTTGAGAATTCATTGCTGATTTCTGTACATTGGAGACAGAGAAATACACTGTTTTGGCACCTCGTAAAGTATCATTTTTTACCTCATGTAACCATACGCTTGTATCTCATTGTTTAAAAAAAAAAATAACAACTCTTTAAGGGTTTGCTGAGCCCTTCTCAGCAAACGCACAACCTAAGGCAATCACTTTTTACTCCCAAACGCGTCCTTTCCTTGTTGGGGCTCCCTAAGGGCTCTGCCATTACGGCAAAGCGAGCCGAGCTCTCCCGGCCCACCTCGCCCGGGCCGCACCGCTGCCCACCGGCGCGGCGGGTCACACAGGGCCGGAGCGGCCCCCGGGTCTCGGCGGGGCCCGGCAGGCCTGCGCCCCTCACGGGACTGTGCGG